GCCCAGTTTCTTTCCCAGAGGGAAGAACCTGAGCTCTGACGATGCGAAATCGAACAAGGATTTTAATTTTGCCGAGATTATCCAAACCAAACAGGCTCTTCTTTAACATGCTGCATAATTATACGACATGGACTCAGTTGATTTTTTGCATCCTGAAAATCTACCGACTTGGGCCGGGGTCGAACGTGCAGCAAACTTGTAAGCCAAGTCAACTACGCCACCTTTCCGGCTTCTATACTTTAGTCATGTTACTCATTTCCAGAATGCAAAGGTGTGAAGTGAAAACCAAATTTAGTTTAGCATACAACAGGAAGAAACAATTGAATAGAGAGATTGAGGGCTTATATTGATTGCACTTTTTTTCCTTAGGAGGATTACCGCCAAACACATATGATACTCTTAACCCTTTTTAGCTTTAAATGTGACCGGCAAAGGAGAGAATTATTAGGTGAAGACTTGCTTATATATACTAAGAATTTTTTTCGTTTAGTTTTTCCGCTATAACCTCAAGCTCCGTATCTAACTTTATTTCTACCTCTCAAGCAAATGGAATCTTGTGAAATATTGTGGCATTTTATAAAATTTTATCATCACCAGAAGTGAATGAACTTTGAATAGAAAAAAAAAAGATAAGTTTGAAAGTGCGCTGTTTATAGTTTGTGACAAGTTCTGATCAAGTTCACAAAAGCAAAGATTTAATTCCAGAAAATATACATAAATAACACCAAAATTGGCTTACAGCGTTAGAGATAGCCAAAGTCTGCGATACATTTAAAATTAACATGAAATAAAACCCTTTTATATCTGGAAAATGAATTTTAAGTTTTATCTCATTTTTCAAACAGATGTTTGTTAAGTTTCATCTGACGTCTGTTATTGCTCTTACATCAGTTGAAATAATCAGTTATTTTTTTGGTACTAGAAAATTTGATATTTTGTAAAAATAAATAAGCATTGGTCAAGCATTAAAAAAATCTAAAGAAATTCATATCATATATATTTCGCACACATTTCTGGTTATTAATAATATTATTTTTTTTCATCTTACACACATTATACATGATAAGTACAAATGATGGACCCAATTTTAAAAAATCATAATAAAAAGACTACTTCACAAGATAACAAGTGACACATGAATGTAAAGAGAAATATAACATGTTTTTTTTTTCTGTTAAAACTGTTCGATTTTGACCCTCTTGTTACACGGAATACATCTAATCTGTAACCCAGTTCGTTCCATACATTTTGTAGCATCACTCTCTTAATGGTTCGTAATGCTGCACAAATGTTTATTTGTGGGCCTCTGTTTTTGTTGTGTCAATTGAAAATGTGATACTGTTTGAAATTTAACTATTCTCGTAAAATGTTCCATACCATTTTTTGGGACATTCGAAGTCCACAGACACACAGCAACTTTCAAAAGACTCCGTGAAATTCCAACAAAATTCTGTCTTACTGATAGAAGGCCGGCCTCCTATATATATATATATATATATATATAGTCCCTGAGATACAATTTTAATTTTGCATCTGCCCTGTTTACAGGAAAGTAAGGATTAGTAAATAATGTGGGTGCGTCCCTAGTTCATTGAGTAGGCTGACAAGGTTGTATTTTTAGCGGACTGTGAGTATGCCGGGAAAATCAGAGTGGTGGATCGGTACAGTAATAAATTCGCAGTGCATTCTTTTGGAAGTAATGCGGTCAGCTTTAAAAGCACTTGCACTCTATTTCTCGGAGCTTTTTTTCCCTTTTCCTTAGATTTACTTACCACTCCGCTACGGGCGGGGAATCTTCTTCCTCCAGGTCTTCCTCCGTCCTCCTCTCACTCAGATAAGTACCATTTTACTTTGTTTTAGTTAGTTTCAGTATGCCGTTATTATAAATAAAATTGTATTACTTCTATACGATCAGACTTTAATTTTAGTTGAGTCATTTACTCTGGTTGTAAATCGCATGATCTGTAGGAACTGCGGATCACTTACCCTCTCTCTGCTTTTTCCGAGAGGCTTGGTCGGCTTTCTTTTTACATAAAAGCAACCCGTTTTCTTTTATTGATGACACCATCACAAAATGCTCTTATTGGTTGGGGCTTTTTTTCCGTTGCGATTTTTAACAGCAAATTGAACAGAAATGACTGAAAAAACCTTTCATACTCAAATACACAAAAACTTTTTACTCTCATGGTCGCCATGTTTGGATTTCAATCACAGAGATCCTGAATGTGCTGCTGATCATTGGTAGAAAAAAAAAACTTGGTATATTTCTCTTTGAATTCATGTATTACTTATTGTAATATATGCAGTAGTTTCGAAAATAGGATTTTTTAAATTCGGGTCCATCATTTGTACTCACCCCGTACTTATGTTTTTAAACGACACCACAAGGAGCTTACCTGTTACACCTCAAATGAGGGGATCATTTATAATTCCTGCTTAGAAATTTTTATTCTTGAATAGATTAAAAAAAAGGAAAACCATAGTTAGCATTTTTGAACCTGATACATTAGACGTATCTTCATTGTCATTGTTTTTATTTTTGTTTGTGTTTGATTTTAAATTAGGGACGCCTGATTCATTATTTCGCCAAATACATTGTCTCTGACGTTTTTATAATATATTTAATTAAAATTGGATGCATTTCTTTCGATTCTTTTATCCAAGGCTATTTTCTTTTCCTTTCTGTATATTTTTCATTTTTATATGAAACTGGCTGATATATCCGTGCCTCGCACGGGTGAATTGTAAAATTAAACAATACAGATTGAAGGATAAAGAAGTTTATACTGAGTTAATTTTACGTGAATTGCAAATTAAACAAAAAAAAAAAAGCATTTTGCACACTTATCTGAACAAAAAAAAGGTATATTTGTAAAATTTTAAGTCTGAAGGTCTAATAGCTGGTAAAAAAAAGTTATTATTATTTTTTTTTTATTTATAACGTCCCGTAACTCTCTTGTAGGTCGATTTTTGAAAACACCTGCCTAAGTTGATTTCTGCTCAGCAAAAGCAACACATTGTTACAAATTTTGTGTAATGAACACTTAAAATAGTGTAAATAATTTATATCTGGATGTGTAATACTTTAATATTACTTTCTGTTATATTTATTTTATGTTAAAATTGTAATATTTGCAAGCAACATCGTACCTTACATTGTAATGGCTATTCAATGGAAACATGGCAAAATACTGGTGATAGAACCAAGTTGGCATCATTTTTGGCGACGACGTTGGCAACTCGCCGATTAATTGAACGGAGCAGAAATTGATATTTTATAGCGCCACCTGGTGGGGAGTTGCAACAAAGTGGATAGCACAAAAACCTTCTCCTAAAAAATGCTTATGCATGTCAATTTTCATAGTGATCGGTTGAACGGTGGTGGGGTGAACCGATTTCATATTTACAAATATCCATTTATATCTATATAAAAAAGTCACTTGAAATTTTTTTAAAAACTGAAAAAAACTACAAATAAAAACGTATTAATTTCATGTATTTTGTCAAATATTTTGAAACTTTGAGCCAATTTTTTTTTTACTTATATCAGATTTATTGGAAATTTCATTCCATTTTATTTTTAATTTTTTTCTCGATTATTAACCATTTTTTAAAATTGTGTCCTTAACTGTCTTTCAACACTTCGCAAATTGAAATTCTCTAACTTGTCATTTGACCATAATACCAATACACGTATTTTATTCTTGTTTAAAACGAGTTTATTTCCCCCCGAGATAGTTCGTTTTAATGTGAGCCCTTTTTTGGTTTTTAAATCTGTTTAAAAAATTGCTGGAATATTGAGATAGGAAAATTTTTGAATATATATATATTCAAACATAGTAAACGGTTGATTTCTTGAGTTCCAGATTTTATTTTACAAGTAAGTTTTTCCTAATTTTTACTATATAAAATTTTTTTTTATTATTTCTCTCCTTGAGAGATTCATTATTGTTCTCTTTTCTCAATTTCTTTTCACTATATTATTAGGTTCATCATCCACGTGTTGTATTAGGCTTAAATTTTCAACTTGGCTCTTTATTTTTTTTCTTTCAATTATGTTGAAAATTTCTGCTGTACGGGGAAGGTTGGATCACCAAACCATTGCTAACCCTAATTCGCTGGCTTAATTCGGCGACAGCTTTAGAAATCATAATAGGTCTGTAGTTTTGTCCAAAGACTTTTTTGTATCTACATTTGTTGTGTCTGCTGAATTCCAATTTCTTACTTCTTTAGCACTGTAGGTTCTGGTACTTCTTCACTTTTATTTTATTATACTATAATATATATATATATATATATATATATATATATATATATATATATATATATGCAAAAATGATATTGACATGTATCATTGCTCCTATTGTCTTTGTTTATTTGATATAAATGTAATTGTATTTTGCCTTTCGAATGCTTATGCATGTATTTTAAGGAAAAGTGTTATATGAATGTGAATTTAGAGTTTATATTAACATTCCACACTATAAAGCTGTATGAGGGCTATCGGCGCTGAACCTCGTAATTTTGAAAACTGGTCAAGTGACAAGGACGACACCTAAGCTGGCACACCTCTCTACAAATTTCCACACCACACCACATCAACGGGAGGACGTTTGAGTATCGACAGATTCAACGCGCAGCGGCCTCTCTCGACACGACGGGTGAATGTGATTGTAAGGACTGTATTAAATGGTTTCCTTTATATTTCTTTTTCCTTTTTTTTCAATTCCTACCATTAGTTCACTCTCTCCCTATATTTATTTATTTATATATATATATATATCTTTCTCAAATTTTTAATCATTAATAGAATACTTTCTATTCATCTACTCAAGATCAAATACCTGTTTTTAAACTTGTAGTGGATGTCACTTGATGTTAATACAGTTTTTTCACACACAAATATTAATTCATTCATTAAATTAAAAAATGAATAAATGGTAAAAAACAAAAATAATAGTCCAACGGCATACTATATGGAAAGGATAATCGTTCGTTGTGTTCCTGTTACGCGATGGATTGCGCGTTGGACTTCTAATCCAAATACCGTGAGTTCGAATCTCACTTGGAAGTCCTAGTTTCTGAGAATGTGTGATTTTTTTTATTATATTATTTTATTAGCGTGATTAAATTTAATTAATTAATAAATAGTAACAAACAAACAAAAAATAGTTCAACACCCTATATAGAAAGGAAAATAGAAAATTGCAAGGAAAATCGCTTTCTATTTTGTCACATAATATTGCGATTCTAACATATGTATATACATATTTATATTAATTGTAACTATTTAATAAAAGGTGACTTAAAATTTTTTTTCTTTGTTGACCTACGTAGGAATTGACTTAATTTTTTTTATATTATTTGTTTTTTTATTACTTCATGATATTCATTTTGTATTTTCTTAAAATGAATTTTTTTTTCTGGAGAATAATGTTGCTTAATCTGTTTCATTCCATTTTTTTTTCTATTTGCAAACGATTTTTCTTTAACACTGACAAATATTGAATTTTATTTTGCTTTGACCAATGAAGTCATTTCTTGCATGCTGTTATATTCCCGTTTTTTCCCCTCCTGACAAATAATTGTATGTTTTAAATTTCTAAATCTTGATTGAACGTTTTTAAAAAATCAAGATTAAAAAAAAAAGTAGCTTGGTCAAGCAGGAAGTGAAACAGTTCGCTTTTTATATCGCTCTGATACATCTGTAACTGAACTCTTAAAACAAAACTGGCAAGGTTTTAAATGCTTTTTATCTGAGAAACTGGTAGATTAGTACATCCTGATAACCTCAAGACTTTATGAAAAAGAGTGATTATCAACTGCTTTCCAGCATATATTTATTTTCATTCATGTTATGAGGAGGAAGCATTGAGGAATCAGTGTTCTTAACGCCTTCAATTTAAAATGTTCCGGAATGTTGTAAGTTGTTTTATAATTTATTCTCTTAAGACTAAAAAATGTTTTAAAATAAGCGTTATCTCGAATTGTCATTGAAAATCAAATCTTTCTTTTAAGTGTGATAAGACTTTTTTTGCTTTTTTTAGTAATTAAAATATATATTTTTGTGTAATTATTAATGTATATCATACAAAAATTATGAAACACATTAGCACAGTTTGCTTCAGGAAATTTCTAAATGTATTATAAAATTTTTATTTTTGTATTCTGCTTTCATAATCCCTTTGTGTTTTAAAAGAAAAAATTTCTTTGTGATATTTCTCTCTCTCCGCTTGTAGAATGGTAATAAGAAACGTCAAAACTAGTGCTATATACTTGCTTCCACATCGTTGGCAGCGTGTGTTGACAGTAGTAGAGGACTACATTGAGGGTCATTAGGCCCAACTTTATGTGCACTGCGTTGTCATTCTTTTGCACAGTGAAGACCATACTGCCCTGTTTACTACCGTAATAAATTAATGTGTTACAATATTTCAGTGCTATTCATTATCCACATATGTAGTTAACACCTTGTCCTTTCGTCTGTATATGTCACATTTTCCAACCGAAGTGGTATCTTCAAGAAAAAAAATAGTTGCCATGACTTTTGCCCCAACCCTCGTATAATGGCAAAAAATACATCAATATTAGTGGGTTGCTTTTAAAGTACCGTATTGATTGTCTTTTTCAAATATAAATATGCATATTCTAATATGTACTAACTGATTTTAAAATAAATCGAATAAATCTCCAAAAATTAAAAAGCTAAGCAATTTATTACCTGATCAGATAACTCGCGAAGTGACAAAATATCCTCTAAGAGAGAACAAAAAAAAGTTCTTATCAATTTGTGGAAATGATTATTTCCTTCTGTCAATATATGGGCCATTGTGTGAGAATTCTCTTTTATCTTTTATTATTTTAACGCCCATAAAAATATCAACTTCTTCGCTGTGATAATTCAAAATTAGCGTATAAAAATATTAAAGATGCTGAATATCTTTTGAACCAAGTCCTTTAAAAATATAGATGCTTATTATGCAAATATAATTAGTGCAAATAACAGTTTTTTAGGACAAATGTTTTTTTTGATACAATGATACAAGAAAAAACGCAAATGTATGAATGTCTAACAGCTGAAAATATTTGATTTTTTTTGCTACAAGTTGTTCTGTCTCGCTACGTTCATTCCTTTCTCCATCAAAATGTTTTACCAGGAATTCAAATCTAAGTTAAAGTTTAACTAACTAAATTAGATAAGAGAAAATAGTTATACTAGTACAGCAATATTTCGTTGAACATTAATTAAAATAGTAAAAGCAAACGTTTTTGAATTTAATTTAAAAAACAAGTAATATTAAAACAAAGTTTTAAAGTCAACAAAGAAATTTTTTTTAGATACATTTTATTAAATAATTACAATTAATATAAATAAGTATATGCATATGACAGAATCACAGCATTAAGTGGCAAAATAGAAAGCGGATTTCCATTCTATTTATGGTGTTGAACTATGATATATATTTTTGCTTGTTACTATTTATTCATTCATAAATCACATTCTCAGAAATTAGGCCATCCCAGGTAGGATTCGAACTCACGAACGTGATCTTTTGAACTACAGGGACACAACGAGCGATCTTCCTTTTTTTCCCTTTCGTATCTCTTTTTTTAAGATATTGGACTATTATTTTAGTTTGCTACTATTTATTCATTAATTAAATTTAATTAATGAATTAATATTTGAAAAAAATTGTATTAACTTCAAGTGTCATCTACTACAAGCTCAAAAAAATGTATTTGAGCTTGAGTGGATTAATAAAAAGAGTTTTTTTTTATTAATGAATGAAAATTTGGATAACACACACACATATATATATAGTATAATAAAATAAAAGTGAATATATATATATATATATAAATATGTAGTGTCTGACTGCTGTTGGAGGTGGATTATGGAATGTTGGCGCTAATCTGCGCGTTTCCGGAGAGGTGTTGCTGTTTTTTTTAGGAGAAGGTAATTGACCCTCGAACGAGGCGGTCAGGGCAAGAGAGAGTTTCTTGTTATGGAAGCGCGAGAGGTTGGACTCTGAATTGAGTGTGAAAAGAAAAGAGAGAACCGACTCATAGCGCGTGGTTTGCTGTACGAAGGATACAATTTCTTGGGAGAGGTTTTAACACTAGATGGACTGTGTTTGATTTGAGAAGTTTTAGAAAGTAAGAGAGATCGACGCACAGCACATGATCTGGTGTACTAAGAAGAGATAGTTTCTTGGGAGAATATATAACACGACGGACTGTGTTTTGTTTGAGTGTAGGGAGAAGAGAGATAATTGTGTTTGATTTGAGAAGTAGTTGAGTAAGTAATTGCGAATTATACGACAAAATATATCAATACAAATAAATAAAATTGAAGTGTCTGTTTGGAGTTTGCCATTAACAGCTTTCTACTAAATGCATTTGACAGTATATCCGGTACTTATATCAAAAATCAATTTTTAAAATTTTTGTCTGTCTCTCTGTTTGTTCCAGCTAATGTCTGAAACAGCTGCACCGATTTGGGCGGAACTTTCACTGGCAGATAGATAAAGTTATAAGGAGTAACTTAGGCTACTTTTATTTTCGAAAAAAAAATTAAGTTTCCACAAAAACAAAATTAAAACCAACGAAGTAGTGAATAATATCCAATGAAATTAGGTTAACCGGGAAATTCGGCCGGTTCCGTGCGTGCGTTTGCTCTCAGAACGTGTGGGCCTGGGAAAATGTTTCTTTCTCCTTATGCTGGTCTTGAAAAGAGGTTAAGTATTAATTAGAAATCAATGTTAAACATCGATAGGTTTTCTTTCATGAAAATAGTTCAGTTTTTTATTTACTTTGAAATTGATAAATTTAATATTACATATAGATATTTTTTCATTAAATTTTTAATATTGTATATAGAGAAATTGTTCAATAATTTAATACAAAAAGGCAAAAATTAACAAAAAACAAAGAAAAAAATAAAACAAAAAAAAACATCATTTCACAAAGTAGAGGAATGACATTATACTTATACCATAGGTATTTCTTTACGTGGAATATATAATTATTAAGTTTTCATAAACTCTGTGAGAATTGAATAAGGCCGTGGTAGCCGAGTGGTTCAGGTATCGGATCGTGGCTGACCTTGTCACGAGTTCGATCCCAGTACCACTAAAGACCCACCATGTAGGGCAGCGATGCACGTTAAATCTGTCGAGAGCTGAAACGCGTCTTCCCGTTGGTGTGGTGGGGTAGTTAGGAGAGGGGGTGCCACCTCAGGTGTCGTCCAGGTCACTTGACCATGGTTCAAAATTACGTGGTCCGTCGCCAAAAGTCCTCGTGTAGCTGAACAGAGCGGCGTTAATATTCACTCACTCACTCGCGAATTGAATAAACACTTTTTTGTTAAATTCCACGTGGATGAAGTCACGGAGAGATAACAGCTAGTATATATACATATATGTATTGTTGTTCTGGTAGATTTTTCCCCAACTGACACTTGAAGGGTTGGGGATTCATCATATATATATATATATATATATATATATATATATATATATATATATATATATATATATATATATATATATATATAACAACTCATCCCGCCTCCCGCATAAGGACTTTAACTTCGACTCCTGCGAGCTTACGAAGAACCACGTGAGCGAACAACGCACTGGCTCCTGATCGGCGCTGAAAATAGGACTCCTTTTGTCATGGTTTCGAGTACAGACGGCTTTGCTGAATATTGAAATCAAATATAGTATGATAAATGGCTGCACGTTGCATTTCTTGTCAATCTAAGAATTCTCAATACTATCAATCTATATATATATATATATATCCAATATATATATATATATATATATATGTATAAATATATGAAATGCCTCTGGAACACTTCCGTTGAGTGGTAAATATATTGTAAGACGTGGCGAGTGGTTGATTAAATAATGGAGAACTAAGGGTTGGGCGTGGCCGTTGGTGTGATTTTCTATGTTACGTGGAGCATGGTCTAATACGATAGTATCGAAGAGGAACTCATGGAAATCGAAATTCCTTTTTATTCACATCCAGAGAAACACATAAAGATCCAGTAGGAACGGCATTACACA